CTTGAACTTCCATGATTGTCAATCGACCAACATTTTCTTTGTCAAAATTCTCTATCTTTCTACCACAAAAAACCATCAATGGAAGCTTCCTCATTCCACGAGCAGCACCACCCTTTTCTTCTTGATCAATCTCAGCTTTACCCAGCGGCCACTGGCACCATCACCGCCTCCATTGGTTTCTCTAATGAGTTCCAGCTATCCCATGACGATCATATTATCCCCAATGGTGCCATTGAAATGAATGCTAATAGCAACCAAGTCGACATTTGCAACAATTTAAAAAGCTCAGAATCTCCGATGCCAATGGTGGTTCATGGTCACATACATGAGAAGACGATGCCCACAACTGATTCTTATGTAATCAATTAACTTTATTCAATAATTTATTTTTATTTTTAAAAGTTTCACAACCCACATTCCACCTTGGCAATAGGCCGTAGGTGAATAATAAAGTTACTTGATTTTTCTTATTTTGTTATAGTTAATTAATTGATTAATATTTTGGTTTTGTTTTGTAGGGTATGACAAAAAACACTTGCAACAAATGGAGGAATCAAAATAAAAGCAATATTGAGCAAGAAAAAAACAAAAAAATGAGATACTCTAAAGAAGGGCAAATTGGGTACGTTTACGTTAGAGCAAGAAGAGGTGAAGCAACAGATAGCCATAGTCTTGCTGAAAGGGTACTACTATATTCTTGAATTTTCATTTTTATCCTTCATCCACTTATTCCAAAATGTAGTTTGAATTATATTATATGTACAACAACACTACTTCCATCCATCAATGTTTATTGGAAAGCAGTTATTATAGATGACACATTTTTGTCTTGTCCGTTTTACACTTGAATTGAATCTTTTAATAAGATTGTGTTCATCTTTTTCTTTACATGCACCGTCCATGTGACAAACAAAAATCCTGGCTTCGATCATAAATGTAGATAAAATATTTAAACATATAAATATATATAGGGGGTCTTCAACTCCCAACTATAGAATTAAATAGAGGTTTGAAATATGGAATTTTGCATAAATGTATATATTCTTTTATTCTCGTAAGTTTTGTTTTTTATATAATTAAAAAAAGAACAAAATGCTAAGATGGATTTGTAATTTTTTTTAGGTGAGGAGAGAGAAGATAAGCGAGAAGATGAAGGCATTACAAGCCATTGTTCCGGGGTGTGATAAGGTAAAATCAATTAACTTTAAGTTTTTTTTTTGTTTTTTTTATGTTTAAGTATGAATGAATAGTCGATTATGAATAACTGATTTTTTTATTTTCATATTTTTATAATCAGATAACAGGAAAAGTTCTTATGTTGGAGGAAGTTATTAATTATGTCCGGTCTCTACAAAATGAAATTCAGGTTAGTATTAAATTAAATATTTTTAATGACAAATATATATAAAAGAAACATGTTTCTTTAATTAAGTTTTAATTACTTATTTCATAAGTTTATGGACATGTGTCATAAGTTAATTATCGTCAAATTTAAAATCTAATATGCTTCATAATTTTGTTATAAACTTATATACTCATAGACTCAAAATATATGTGATTTTAAAATACATTAAAAAGGAGAAAAGCATTGACTATGTTTTATCTTTTTTTAATTACTATTCTCATTAATAAATCATATTTCCAGTTCCTTTCTTCGAAGCTTGCTTGTGTAAATCCTATGTATTATTCTGCGTCGAATTTTGATGCATCCATGCTCAACACTCATCAGGTATTATTTATTGAATTATTGATCTCATTCTTAAATTATCTAAAACCCATAAATGTTTTCGAAATTATTTTTATATGTAAACCAAATTTAATTAAAATACTAACATGCAGAATATGACCACCAACCAGCAACGTCTGCTTTCATTTCAAGAACACCAGATGTCAAATGTGGGATTCGAGGTATTTCTGTCTCATGGTAATATATAAGTAGATAACATGTGTTTATATTGAATAATCAAAATAGAAATAATTTTACAGAATGATAAAGAGGTTGTGTGGGATCTAGAAGAACAAATACAAGGATTTCAGGAACCTTTTGCTATCATCAACAGTTCCAATTCATTTAATTAGTCTCTCCTAAACTATCGAAGGTAATAATACACATACATATGACGTGAGAGGAATGATAAATAAACCATATGCATGTTTTTTGCAAACCAAAATATTGAATCATTAAATAATTAGAAAAAATGATACGGAAAATAAATCCTAAAAGAAAAATAACGAAGATTCAAATTTTTGGGACGATTCATTAAAGTGGGAAAACTGAATCATCCTTTAATTCACTAAAAGAATATCACATGGAGGCGGTTATTTGGGATATTTTTTTTATGAATCATGTTATTTTCTTATGATTATCTAATAATTCATTTATCTGGTTCTCCAAAAAAACATAAAAAAAACATGAAGATGAATTGTTTCTCAAGCTTCTCATATATTTTTTATTTTTCACATGATCCTATATCTTTATACATAAAGTTGGATCAAATGGGAAATGGAATTTTGATGAAAAACTCAACCCTTAATTTCTAAAAGGCACGATCAAAATTGTTTATTGTTTAAATAGTTTGCTACGATATTTTTAATCATGTTTTTTGGGTCATTCAAATTTTCCAAAACCTGAGAAGTTGAGAAATTCTTTGTAGTAGTTATTGTGATTTGTTTTATACTATTCAACTATTTCAAAACCCTAGGTAATGGTTATTTCGTTCTTTGTCAATTGTATGATTTTCTTTATCAACAGTTGAATTTGTTCGATAAATTATCTACCTTAGATTTTTTCCCCTCATACATGTTCATGATCACTTATAAATATATTGATTCGTTCATTGGTTTATATATTTCTTAATTTGTTGTTGCTTATTTCCGTTCCTAACATATATTTTAATAGTATATATGTTATCTAATGTTTTTGACAGGTTCAACTGATTAGTGATTGTTTTCTTTCGAGCTTATTATGATATTTCAAAAGAAGGATATAGAGCAAGTATGTTCAATTGTGTTTTCAAGTTTTTCGTAATAACTGATTTAGAGTAATTTGGTCGAAATATGGTCATATCCATTGATGTTAGTCTTCAGTGATGATTCTATGTATATTTTCTTTTTGTTTATAAATCAAAGAATGAAAGATAAGTCATTGTGAAAGGATCTGCGAAAATTTTGTCATTATCAAGGACAAATGAAGATTTGTAAATCATTATTTAAGACCCAACAATGCGTACAACACCACACACTACCAATGCGTACAACACCACACACTACCAATGCGTACAACACCACACACTACCGTAAATGATTTGGCATCATAGTATGCGACAAACACCCTACCGACCTTAATCAAAAAAATGAGGTATCTATACCGCACGTCATTGGTTTACCGCACCTTTTTTCTTTTCTTTTCTGTTTTAATTATTATTAAATTATATATATATATATATATATATATATATATATATATATATATAATTTATAAAAAGATATATCAAAATTCATGGTTTTTAATTCCCTATAAATATAGTATAATATTGATATGTAATTTACATATATTTAAAATTAAATAAAAATGTGGTAAGTTGTGGTATGACATCCAATAGTTTTGTGGGATAAGGGAAAAATGAAGTGGTAATGTGTTAGTGCAAAAGTGTGGTATGTGTGGTATGCATTCCATCAGTAAAACTTTTATTTTGAATTTATAATGGTTTGTTGTTTGTATGAATCAATTTAGACTATGTTTGGCTTACCTAACTAATTTATTTGTAATTTTATGAAGTTATTCAATTTACCAATACCAATCAATATTATTTTTATTTTGTTGGTCTATTATGTTATACTTTCGTCAATTAATGTAGTTTAAACCATTGTTTGTTTGTATGAATTAATAAAGTAACTCCTACACATTTGTTTCGATTTAGGTAATGAATCATTTTACCAACAAGCCTGAATCAATGTGTGAATACGTATGGTATCAAATCATATAAATACTTATAATATTTACGTATTTTAAAACTCTTTTTAACATATTTGTAAAAAAAAGTCATCATACTTTATAGAGATTTTGTCTATGGACGTGTTTGGAAACGGATTTTTGAGAAATTCTAGTTTTTAGTTTTTAACAAAAAAAACATGATTTAAATAAAAAAAATTGTTTGGAAATACAAACTTTTAGTTTTTAGTTTGAACAAAAAGTTTCAAATCTAAAAATTGTTTTAATAGTTACTACATTAATAAAATTTTGCTTGAATCAAACCCCACATGTGTTTCCTCCCAAAATTGCCATTAGAGTCTCTTCCTTCAAAACCGTTGTTAGGGAGGAACGGGTAGGAGGTGCTCAACTTAAAAACCTATTTATAGTTTCTACCCTCAAAATTCATGCTTTGACAACTACAATCCTATTTTACTATTTTACCAATTAGTAGCTTTTAACTTTGGAAGTTGACTCATATAGTCCTTCCCCGCCAATTTTATAAACTAAATGGTCAAACAATCAATTAAGTGAGTCAACATTTGTCAAACACATTTTTTTTTTTTTGGCATTTTTAACCCTCAAACCATAAATGATAAATTTTCAATATTTAACCATTCCGACTAGCATTTAAAGTATTATTATGATTTATTTTTATTAATCCCATAATTCTAGAATGTTTATTGATTTATCTATATATTTTAATTAATTTCAGTAGAGTTCTAAATTTACTCAAAATATTTAGCCCAAAAAAGCAAGTGTTACACATTCATCCATTTGACTAACACCACCACACGACTCTAATGGCTTTGTCTAGATCATTCGCACATAAATAAATAAATAAATAAATAAAAAAACGAAAACCATAAACGGACATATATATTCACATTTGAATGTGCATATATGCACATTCAAATATGCATATATGCACATTATAAACATAAATAGTTTTTTTCTCATTTCTAATCGAGCTAGACGAGGCCCTAGTGGTGGTTTTGAAATTTTTTGGCAGGAACAAAATTTCTCAATTTCCCATGTAGATAATGGGCGTACCGACAAAAATGGATAACGGATACACATGTGTTTTCCAACCAAACATGTTTCCTTAAACTATACTAATCATTACCTTAATATACACAAAAACATATATTTTTTTTTGTTTTTTTTTATTTTTAGAAAACTATTTTTATCAAAAAAATTATTTTAAATATATCAAAATTCATAATTTTTTATTCTCTATAAATAGACATTCATATTGAATATTGATATAGTTTTAAGATAAAATAAAATAAAAAATTATAGTTTCAGCTCTCGTTATTTATAAGTGAATAAAAATCGATCAGATTTTTATTACAGTACATTCGTTATTCATTTATAAATAAAATGTATGTTTAATTTTTTTACAGTTTAAGTATCATTCATATATAAATATAACACGTAATAAAACTTTTTTACCTAAAATATATATTTTTACATCATTTTTCGTCACACGTTATATTTATATATGAATAAAATGTGCATTAATTGTCGTTATATGTTATAAAAGACGACGTGTTTTAAAATTTTGAACTACTTATTCATATATGAATAACAAAATGAACTGTAACAAAATTATGATAAATGTGTTTTTCATATATGAATATAACATGTGAGGAAGACTAATACACGTTTTATTCATATGTGATTATAACATGTGACGAGAGTTGATGTAAATTGTAAAGAGTTTATATATGTTATATTTATATATGAATGATATTTAAAAAAAAAATCATACTTTTTATTTATAAGTGAATAACGAATGTACTGTAGTAAAAATCTGATGCATTTTTATTCATTTATGAATAACAAGAGCTGATTTTTATTTTATCTTAAAACTATATCAATATGGATGTCTATTTATAGAGAATTAAAAATTATAAATTTTTATGTATTGAAAATCATTTTTCGATAAAAATAGCTCCTTAAAAATTAAAAAAAAAAACGAAAAAAAAACTATGTTTTTGTATATATATTAAGGTAATGATTAGCATAGTTTAAGGAAACATGTTTTGTT